CTTGACCAGCATTCTACGACATTCATGAAGAAGGGAAGGTCTTGAAGCAGCAGCCAAAGTTACACGTGAAGTTGGAGGATATTTCTGCTTCCCGTAAGCTAAATGTTTCAGTAGAATTAGTTTCAAGAATCTTCTTCTGGAAGGTGTATGGGAATTAAAATTCTTAAGCATGAATAGAAGAGATAAGTTTAATTCTTTTGAGATGAGCTACTAACTTTGTATTTCATCTGCGAACTAGCTGCGGTCGTTAGAGTTGTTACGAAAAATTCCATGTTCATTAACTGACTGACGAACGTGCAACTGTTTTAGAACGTGCAACTTTCCAAAAATTTAGAGAAATATGTCAAAAGATGGAATATAAACTTTGCATGATCTGTACGAAACGAATCAGCTAAACCCTCGTCGACCAACGAACGACTCGAACTGCTACAAGGGCTCCACTTGCAACTATTGCACGCTTAAAGCTTAGCACTAGGTTCTGTGCTTAGAGTAATTGATTTCCCACACCTTGATGTGTACGCGAAAGCTCCTGAGTCTTGATATAGAACGGAATTTCTGCCCCTCTTTTTCTTATTTGCGCCAAACGAGATAAAAAAAAGATAAAGCTTTCGGCGCTGATCAATCCTCGAGGGATGTGCCTTGCATTCAACTTCACTAAACATCGTTGGAGGCGATTGAATGTATGTGTTACCTTTACACTCGCGGTGGCTCATCGATGTGTCGAGCCACTGCTGCTATCCTCCTAGAAAAGTCTGGCACCAGTTTGCCGAACCCGAAGGGATGGAAGGCTAGGTGGGCCATGGGAGCTGGGATCGATTCCACTTGTGTGTTGCAGGGCACCTCCGACCATTGCGCCACACGCACCCTATCAAACGAGATACTCCACTGTAATGCACTCCTACTAACAAGTTTAACACTGAACTATTTCCTATTTTCCTTAGACAGCGACCAGGTTTTCGAGGCGTAAATTAGTACAGGAATATCCGTACAGTCGCAAGAATGGTCATGAAGTTCCTTTTCCTTGTCCTCTATACTTATACTGCTCAGCATTAATGGAGGATGAGAAAGAAATCCATTCCTTTTCACCAAATTTCAGAAAAAAGCTAGAACCTACTGTTACAACTATTTTATTTCCTAAGCCTCAATGTACTTAAGAGCTCGGTGTTGGAGAATATACTGTAGTACATCGACCAATCTAAGTTTAATCATTCTAGCGGGTAGTCCACAGTTCGACTTAGTTTGGAGAAAAAAATGTCACTCCAAGATCAGAAACTAAACAGTTAGAGTAACTTGCGAGTCAGTGGAAAGATAGCCACAATTGTAATAGAAAACCAATAAATCCCGTTGCTTTTGTAAAGGCAGTCTTAACTCGAATAATAGTAGGTATGTTTAAACCTGTATGCATCGTTGAGTCCCAATTCGGTTTGTGAGTAGAAAAACGCCTTGCCAAGAGCAGTCACTGAACGACTATGTCTTCCGATTTGTTCGGCCACCTTAAGCGCCTCGAACTTCACCTCACTCTCTGGAACTACTCGCGAGACGAGTCCATAGCTAACTGCCGCTGTAATCACAACAATTTCTGTTCATAAATCTGAAGAAATCTATTGCTTGAATAATTGAAAATAATTAACTATTTTCTCCACCTTGGTAACCGATCCTAATTCAGAACATGTCACTTCGAACGTTCCCACTCAATTTTTTAATCATGGCATCTCAAGCACATGAAGGACATGATGTCTTTAAGACTATCGATTAGAAATATGGAAATAATCCCCACAACCGACTTTTTATCAAGCTCGGCATTGACCGAACAATTCTTTATACTTTTGTTGAGCAAACAAGTTTTAATTTATTGTTTTATTTGCGAAAAAGCTGACGTTTCGGCGGATTCTGCCTTCCCCAGAACCTGGAAAGGTGAAGTTGACCGCAATCTACCCAGCCAAACACTATTTGGTTATGGAGGTGTTTTGCTGGGTAGACACCTCCATAACCAAATAGTGTGTTTGGCTGGGTAGATTGCGGTCATTTTCATCTTACCAAGTTCTGAGGAAGGCAAAATCCGCCGAAACATCAGCATGATCGTAAATGAAGAATTAAGATAACAGCTCGTGCGTGCTCAACTAGTTTATAGAAATAATGTTCAAACTCCAAACGAGTCTGTAATTAAGCTAGTATTAACCGACTCACAATGCGCATCTATAGGTTCTCCAGTTAACAACATGTCGAGAGCAATTTTGTGAGGTACTGCACGCGCAAGTGGAATACCTGGCGTAGAGCAGAACAATCCGACTTTCTGCCTGAACTGTACAGCATGAGAATAAGAAGTGAGAGAGATCTAGGAATGCTAGGCCAAAAAAACATTGGTAACACGAAATGCTAAATGCCACACAAACAACTTACAACAAAGAAACGCCAAAAAAAATAAAAGAAGTATACTGTGGCACCACAGATATGATTCCGATTTTTCGAATAGGTAATATTAGCTAATAAACATACCCAGGGACTAGGAATTTGGAGGTCTCAGAGGCTACAACTACATCACATGAAGCCACTAGTTGGCATCCAGCAGCAGCAGCGATCCCGTTCACCTACAACGGAGAGAATAATGGAAATGAAAAAAACGCTTTTAAACTAGTCACAAGCGCCTAAACTCCAGCTACAACCATATTTTTGGAACTGACAACGGTGATTTAAAAAAGCTCTCGTCGTTGATTAAATCCTGAGGGAAGTGTCACGCATTCGACTTCACTAAGCATCATTGGAGGTGACTGAATGCATATGTAGCTTTCACAATGACTCGTGGTGACCTATGTGCCGAGCGAGTGCTGCTATCCTTCCAGACAGGTATGGTACCAATTTACCGACGCCGGAGGGTTTGGTGAGCCTGGAATACGGGATCGATCCCACGTATATTGCAGGGGACTTCCGATCACTGTGCTATACGCGCCATACAATATACATGAAATCGCTCGCAGCACGGCAAAGCAATTAATACATGTAAACTGACGAATAAAGAAGAATTAGTGTAAAATTTGAACATTCTTTTTCCTCGCCATATGATTTTTCGTTTTAGTAAAACTAAGATGAGCAAGCAATATGATTTGTCTTCAACTAATGAGTGCTATGGAGCAGATAATTCACAAGGTACTCCACTGGTAACACGACAACTCTTATTAACATTGAACAGGTAGCTCTGATTTCGACTGACTGGACTATTATCTGAATTTCAATTGTTTACAAAACACTGAATGCTGCCAGATACGAAGAAAATCAATATATTATGTAAATTGCACGTAGTATTAAGTCTAAGACCCCTCCGGGCACATTCAATGGCTATATTTCATAACGCTTAGCAAACAACGTCCAAATCTTTTAAAAATAATGCTCTACAATGCTAGAATCCATGGTCGCACAGTCAGAAACAACGACACAGAGAGAGAGAGAGAAGGAGAAAAAGAGAAAGAGAGAGAGATGAGGAAGTTTCTGGAAGAAACACTGTTAGTAGTAACAGAGTAGACACTTTTGACTTTACTTCTAAAAGCGGAAGCAGATAGACACCCTCCAAAAGCCCAAGTAGAATTCCTAACAACTAAGAAATTACTTCAGATCCGCCTCGGAATGACTAGGAAGACGAAACAACAAGAAGACGAACAACTGTGGACCACCGATTCGGATCATCGGCTCTGATGAAGATGACCTCAAAACGTTAGCCGAATAAAGGTTGTTTATCAACCTCGTGTACGCTCAACAATTTAAAGATGACTAAGAAATTACCTTATTAAGATAGAAAATAAGTGATGTATGGCAAAAAATATAACATAACAAGCACAGAGCAATGAAACCAATCAGTATGAATGTAGGATCCGATAGCCAGAAGCAATAGGAATCTATGACTAGGATTTTGCCATTGAACCACGTTTAATGACGCATCACCCTTTCAGACGATTGTTTGTTTCGCATCTACAAGTGAACTCAACTCACACTTGGGATTTAGATCTGATCCAGAAACTTAAAGTGAAGAGAACTTTTTGGGCAGAAAATGATATGATAATGTATCGAAAGAGATCAGATCATTCATGTGCTGAAACTTCTTGAAATACTGAAATAGAAGTAGGACTATAATGATGCTAAGATATTTGCAAAACTCGGGACTGCTGGTACCGGCAGTGGGAACTGAACACGCTATTACCCTTTCCGGGAACTAACGCGTTCACCACCACACCATGCAAGTCCTTCGTTTCTCCTGTCTCTCAGCTAGTTTTCTATCTATCAGTGCTATTAGCAACCACCCGTCAACGGGATTGATCTGGAGAGCTCATTGAGCCCAGTTAAGCTGAACTGTGGTGCAAATCCAATTTCGTCAACTTTTATTTGTTACCTATTCCTTCTTTTTTAAGGGCAGCCTACAAAAACATAAAAACAGGACCACCAAGGTCGAAGACGACTGTTATGAGCAGTCAGTGAGCCGTAGTCGATCCGAAAAAGATAGAGTGATGTGTATGACATAATTTATTCAATAAGAGTAAAGACACTACAATTTTCCCGTGAATAAGGATTTACAATCTACAACAACTTGTCAGTCCCCATAAAGGAACATTAACTGGACGAGAACAGAGTTGGATTTGAAGAAACAAAACGCTTGATGGCGATGTGGATGTTATGGTTTTCCATCCAGAATGTGAAGAGTTTGTAAAGGAACGTTATGAATTCAACTCACTTCAGCAATAACTGGGATTTGCATGCGACGTATGAGCGTCATCAGATCGAAACATCGTTCGAAAATCTTCCGGTGAAGATCCTCTCCGGCATCAGCTTTCGAAAAAGATTCTTATATATGTGATAACTGACACACCCAAACAATGTAGAAAGCTGGGAATCCAGAAGCCTTTAACGCCTCACCAATTCGGTTAAGTCGTGTCCGGATGAAAACACTTTGCTCCCTGATGCGATGATGACTGAACGCACCTGCAACAAATGGATCAATACTTACTCAAAATCAAAGCTAATTTAACGTTGAAAAGGAATACCAACCTTAGGTATATCGTTTAGTCCTTCTAACTCTCTGGCCAACTCCTCGATCATTGCGAACGATAGAGCATTGCGACGCTCGGGATCTCTGAGGATGACTCGCACAACAGATTCACCCTATATACTAAACATCACATGGATTTCTAACTGATCAAATTTCCATGACAATCAATACCCAGAAAGGAGACTTCGTAGCTTGATAGATAAGGATAACCACCTCCAGTATAATACTCTACATGAACTTAAAAGGATAAAAAGGATAAAGCCCTCGGCGTTTATCTATCCCTGAGGGCTGCGCCATGTATTCGGCTTCATTAAGCATCGGTGGAGATGACTGAATGCATATCTGGTCTCTACAATGACTCGCGATGGCCTATCGATATATCGAGCCAGTGTTGCCATACTCCCAGACAAGTCTGGTACCAATTACCCACCCCGGACAGATGGTAGGCTTGATGAGCCACGGGGACGGAGATCGATCCCACGTGTATTGAACCTAAACATTTCCTGGATTTCTGAGGTATGTAATTCACATGTCAATCAATATCCAGAAAGACTTCGGAGCTTGATGGATAATGATAACAACCTTCCAGTCTAATACTCCACATAAACATACGTTTGAATAACCACTATGTTATACTAATTAACTCCGCAAACATCTCACTGCACCTCACATGAAGCAATCTCGGCGTGTCAAACGTAAAGCAAGAAGACCACCGACCGGATGGTCAGAGTTCCTCACGAGGAGCCTAGAAGAAAGGTATGATGCTCAACGGTTCACTAGAGCGAGCACAACCCATTGAGTCCCTCTTTCACGCGACAGGGAAAAGTGGAAAATTTACTGGCGCCCGCCCGAGTCACTCGACGATAAGCGGGTCGATAAGTGATGCAGGTGGTGATACAACGATGCAAAAGAAAGCGTCAAAAATAAAAAAGATCGGAAACCTGGTATAGTTCTCTCCCTAATAGTGACGATGCAGAGCAGAATGATCTCCTAACGACGTTCATTAGCACTTAGTCCCAAACATTCAGATAGCCAAACGGAAAGTTGGAGAAATTCACAACTCCGCCGTACGCTAGGTGTAGTTCTCCGCAATTACATACCTTTTGCCAGTGCGGCGGTGACGACAAGTTTTTGGAACACACGTCCTACTGCTCGACCCATATTTCCACGGTTTTCTTTAGATTTAAGCTCTTCCCGGGGGACCTTAGAACTAGTTAATCGACATTGTTTTTAGCAGATTCATAGTGATGCTAGTATGTCGATTAGCGCATTATTCTTTGGATAACTAAAGTAATTGAGTACCTGAGGTCTGAACAAGCTTCTGGAAAACCCTTCTCCGTCTTCTTATAACCTTGTATATACATATATATTTACAGAACCGTTTATTATTATTACATGAACAGTCATCAAATCTACTGTTTATGACAGAGTTGTGGATCCCAGAACTTGTATTCGATTCGTTTTCCTCGCATTCTTCAGCTACAAAGGTCTTCGAACACTGGATTTTCCTTGTTTCATTGATAAGCTAACACGGGGTTGTTACCAAGTATTTCTTCGGCTAACGTTTCGGCTTCTTCGTCGTTATTCGATTCGATGTCCACGGTAGTTCGCAGTCCCGATGTGGTGTCCCTGTTAATCGTATCGAGTCGGATCTTCTTCAGTGGAGCATCTCTCGAATGAGGCATACTCATTCGGCGATGCTGTTTTATACAGGGTCATCGATATTGGCAATAGTGATTGTCCGGTGATAATAACTTGTTCTTTCTGGACAATCCATCTTGCAGCAGTCGGTATTAGATAAGTTTTCACTCACCGAACTAATGGCATTGTAAACCGACTCTGATTTAGCCTCGGTATAAATGACCAGTGTATCTTGTTTCATTGACAAGCTAACACAAGATTGTTACCAAATGTTTATTCGGCTGTTTCGACGTGTTCCCCTTCCTCAGTGCCGATGAGTCGCTTTACAACGACATCACTTCTCCAAGTGCAAGATTGTCTAATACCGACTGCTTCACGATGGATTGTCTGGGAAAAATTAGTCACTATCACCGGACAATCATATCAAGCACAGCAATACTGTAAGGAAGAGCATCGGAATATTAGGAGGAAGTCGAAGCCCGTTAGGAATATTTGGTAACAACCTCGTGTTAGCTTATCGATGGAACAAAGTACATTAGTCATTTATACCTTGGTTAAATGGAAGTCGATTTACGATGATGTTTGGCGCGTTGGCTCTTGAGGATCTCATCTTCTGTACGAATGTCGTAGAATGCTGGTCGGATCGACTCTCCCTGTAATCTTGGAGATAGTCGAGCCAAAGCGTTGTTTGGTTTGGAGGAGGGCGTTGAGAGCAAGTCGAACCAGCACCTTGCTTCCTGAGGGGACTGCCTCACTGACCACTGGGTTACCAGAATACGTATTGATTAATCTTCTCGACGCTAAAGGAAAGTCGCTTTTTAGAACACTGTAAAGCATTTATTAACGTGTTCCGATGCTGTTTTTTCAATAACTGACGATAGTTGCTTGATTGTTAGAGTATTCGAAGTGTTGATTACTACGGAGATTTATAGAAAAATGTCTTAACTGTTACTTACTGTCCTTTTTTTTTTACCTCAGGAGGCTTCGAACCCGCGACTGCCCTTACCGTGGGCTTATTTATGGAAAAAAAACTTTGCTCTATCGTCTTAAGAGTGCATACTGTCTTTCTAAAGTATTATTTCAATTTTAGGCATTACAAATAAAATGCTCAAAAGTTTGAAAGCGAAGTTAAAATATTCAAATTTTTCGATGCAGCGCGGCAGCTGCAAGAAACTGGGATACATTGGGAACACCATGATGTCCTGCTAGACAAAATTGAGCTGGTTGAGGCGGTTTCGTATTCAGTATATGAGCATCAACGAATGTGAAAAAAATTTGTCCCCTTTAGAAAATCTGAATGATAGACAGAAAACTTACTATCTGGTTTTCAAAGATTTTTAAATTCCATTAGTTTCTACACCAACTAATGAGCTTAAAATAACCTGAGATATTAAGTTTAACATAGAAAGCAGCCATCATTTTCGTGCCAAATGCATTCTACCCACCGCTTATCGGGTATCATGTGTCAAATGCGATAAGTCATAGGAGGTTGGTGACCAACCGCGTAAACAAAGGAAATATTTTCCTTTCTGTATAATATAAGAAATAACGAATCAAGCTCCATTCCATCATATCAGGTGTGCACCAGCACTTTGTCTAAACTTGTTTTCAACGTTACGTTGGTACCGCTCACGACGGCCTTACTCAGATTGCTAACGTCATAACAAGAATGACACGGTGTACTACGACTAAGATGTTACTAAAGATGTTACTTAAAATTGTTGAGGTTTGTTAACGATTGTATCACCTGAACGGGCGCGGGTGGAGCAATGATCGGAATCACCCTGCAATACACATGGGATCGATTCTGGCGCCCCTAGCTCACCAAGCCGTCCATCTCTCCGAGGTCGGCAAATTGGTACCAGACTTGTCTGAGAGGATAGCATCATTGGCTCGATACATCGCTAGGCCACCGCGAGTCATTTTAAGGCTGGATATGCATTCAGTTACCTCCATATGATGCTTAATGAAGTCGAATGCATGGAGCTTTCCTCAGGGATTGATCAACGCTGAGGGTTTTCCTCACCGCACCTTTGCATTCGTACTAACGGTAAGTCCACTTGGAGTATAAATTAGATCCACATAGGATTCATTGATGTAGTATACTTTTTGAAATTCACCTTCTTTTATACTTTGAGTAACCCTTATATGCCATACTCTTTAGTGGTTCCTTGCAATCTCCTTGAACAGGTCTAATTTAGTACATGATTTTTGTCCAATGTTTTATATCCATTCCTTAAAAGAGACATGCCATTTATCCCTGAATTATCGGTTAGCCAAAAAACTGTGGAACAACGTTAGCAGTGAATACGATCCTGCTCCAGATGTAATCTTCAAGCATCAGCAGAAGTCAAATATGTGATGAAGACAATATTTTGGTCCTAAAATGAATGAAGTACACGATCGAATATTACTTTAGAATTTTCATCTGAATAACTTGAGTACCGACCAATTTTCTCTGCCGACTACATAAAGCGCAGTTGGCCTCTGGAACCCATTGAAAGTTGTGGACGCTGAGCAAGTGTAAGCACCCATATTAGGATAGGTAATCCAGTCACCAACGGACAACATTCGCATATGTTTTTGGTCCTGCAAGGAGATATTTTAGAGTCAGCCTAACTTAAGAGATATCATCAAACTGTGAAAATTGGTAAAAACTAAACACAAATTGAAACTTAGCGATTCTACCTCAATCTTATCTAAGCTATCGCAGGTGGGTCCCCAGATAGTGGTAGGATACTCCTCAGCTATTTCGTCCTGAAGCAAAACCTTTTATGATTATTACGAACGACTTATTTTTAACTGCTAGGGGTGGGGTGAATAGTGCCGTGATTGCGCAGTGGGTGGTGATGCCGTCCAATAGGAAGCAAAGGCGCCAGTTCGTTCCCATGATTACAAAGGAAATTAACTCATCCAGAACTTTACGACATTCATAAGGAAGATGAAATCCCCAAGAAGCAGCCGAAGCAACACGTGAACTGTTCGGAGACCATTGTGGACGATGAAGACGAGAAGAACGAGTCGATTGGAAGAAGTGCTGGGATCCATACAGTTGATGTGACGATAGGTCATATAAAATAATAACGTACGAAAATATGAGGTTACAAACTGGATTGCTGCAGGCGAATATGAATAAGTTTGTCTGGAGATTCTATGAGCAGGCAGCATCGATCCGGGAAACTGAACTTACTGTCTCGTTTATATCCTAAGTAACCCGTGATGATAAAGACCGTTTCTCTTTCAACATTGGTAGGGTATTCAGTCATTTTGGAAAACATCTTGCAAATATTCCCAAAGCTTTCCCATGAATATCAACCTACGTCATGTTATCCATTCAACTCTCATCCTTGGTGAAGAGACATGAAGATGAAGTATTGGTGTATTATTTCCGTTGCACGAAAAAATAAAAAACTAACTATGAGATGTTAGAAAGCACTTACAAAAAGCGGCCTTCCTACAGGATTAACGTGATCGAAAAGAATACAATTGAACGAACCATATACGCCGTCGTTGATGTAGTACATGAAACCTCGGTTCTCGGCATCCGCAGCTAAAGCGGCAGTATATTCGTTTTCGCCGTATGGTATTCATTTACTGTTACTTTACTACCTCGTCCTTTCTCATCTAGTGACATAATTCCATGTTTCACCAAGGAATGAAAATGAAACTTACGATCCTTGGTGATTTTTTCGGCCGTCACCTCCGTAGCATGAATGACATTGCATACCAGAGTAAAAGGAGAAGCAGCGAAAAATCTAAAGCGGCGTTGCCGTTAGAGCATTGTGAGACTTATTAGTGATAAGCAACTTTAGATAGAGACCTTCAGGAAAGGAAATGAAAATACCTTCCAGGTTCGGCTACGAAACGCACTCCTAGTTCCTGAGGGAAAAATTCATCCATCGATGAGCGAATAGTTGCTGCAATCTGAAATTTAAATTTTCAATTGAATTTCTCGTTTTCCACGGAAATAGGTGCTTCCCAGTTTCGTGATATGGCAAATATTCAAGCTCTAAATTTCTAGTTTTGTACTGATTAAGTTACTCACGTTCTCAAACGATATATGGTATGGCGTTCCCGGATATCCACCACCTAGATCAATGAGTTTCATAGTGAACCCCAAGCTCACTCCAATGTCGTACAGATCTCTAGCATGACCTAAAGCTTCACGGAATGCCGATGGGTCGTTGCATCCTGAACCTACGTGAAAGCTGAAATATTTTAATAAAAGTTCAACGATCGTATCTCCAACGCGAATAAGACAACTCTAAATCGAAACTAAACTTTAGACTATGCACCTGACTCCTACGACATTCACATGAAGCTGTTTGGCTTCGACTAGCAACTGAGGTGCGACTTTCACTGGATCAGCTCCGAATTTAAGATTCAGAGGACAGGTGGCTGTTGGGTCGGAGACGGCGATTCGTAGAATCATCCTGCAGCGTGAGGCAATTTAAAAGACTCATTTTTTCTCTCTTCCATCCCTATTCACTCATCGTTTAATCTCCTGCAATCCTATGACATCCTCTCATCCATATTTTCACGAAAAATACTAGCAAGAGCCACAACCAATAGCACCTGGATCCTTCACTTCAATTCCCAACTATTTGTGCTTTCTTACGGAAAAAAGTTCTTTAAAGACAACTTACTCAGCTTGCGGATGTAACTTGGCGACCTTGACCAACTCCTCAGAATTATCAAATGTCATCATCATAACACTTCTTTCCTTCGCATGAGTTATAAACGAACGAGTCTTGCAAGGATTTGCATAAATTATTCGTTCTGCGTTCACGCCCATACCCATCACCTATGTACATATACTTCATGGGATTATTTTAATCGAATAGTCTTTCATTGTACTGAATTTCCGACATAATCTAGTCTTTCCCTATTTTTTGAAACTTAGGTCTCTAAGCATTTTCTTTTTTTCTTAAATCATTCTTAACTGAAGCCCACAATATCGATTTCGTTCCGACTGGCACAGTCGAAGCCCGTTCCCAGAGCGGCCAACGTTCGAAGTAGGACTTGATCCGTGTTGCACTTTACTGCGTAGAACGGCTTAAATTAGAAGAGCTGTTTTTTCTTAAAGAAACCATCACACGAATTTCTTTCTGCAGTCTACTAATTACAAGAATTGCTGCAGATACTAGAATGGCTGCTGTTAGAATAAAATCCTATCCGCAAGACACCAAACCTTCCTGTGTTCCAAAAGAGTCAGCCTGAGAATTTCCTAGTCCTGTCTCAAGTTCCCAGGGAAAAACGGCATTCAATCAACATTGAACGTGTTATTGAGAAAAGCAGTCCCGCAAACTGCAGTTGAATTCACGCACGCACCCAAACACCTCAATGACTGGCAGTTGCAGGATAAAAAGTAGAAGTGCTGCTGACACGAAATGTAGGCATAGGCCAGCTTAACACCGACGTAGGCATGTCATGATTACGCTAGCAGTTTTTTGTGCCGCTGTACCTTCTTTTCTGATCTATAGATCGGTTCCGCCCATAATCGACCATCATCACCCTATACTTGGTGTTTCAGTATCTTTTGGCTAGAAATTCGTCCTAGGTATATATTTAGGTCTACGTGTAAGCAATGGAAGGAGAATTTTGATGCAGATAAGTATTTCTACGTGATTCAAAACTACAAGAAAGTGGACAGTTCTCAGATTATTAGAATCATTTTATTCGAAATTAAAACGTGCTCTCACTTCAACCATTGGTAATTCACGTTTCCACAGAGCGAATCTTTCAAAAACCACGTCTAAATCGACCAACATGAAAGCTTCATCGTTTTCCTATAGAAGAAGATAGAAAAATAAAACCATGAGCAAACGGATCTTTTTACTATCAAACTTACGTCATCATTCTTGCTAAGGGCAATCTGACGACATAGGTCAAAAGCGTCGATTTTCTTGTCGAGAATACCAACCTAAATCGTGATAGGATGGTTTGGCACCGACGCGAAGTTACAAGACATATCTATCTCTACCTTGTCATCACCAATAAGCTCCATATGACTAATCATTTTAGACGGCAATGTAAGACAGACAGGTATCACCAGGGAGGTGGTTCGCCTTCGTCTACTGAATCGTATATGAAAGCTAGAAAGCTGCAGAAGGTCTCAGGAGATCGAACCTCGTAGATCTTAAAACCGACATATAATAGAAGTTGGTTTGCTTTGGAATAGTTGGTTTGCTAGAAGAACGTCTAAGCTTTAATAATTACTAGGCTACGATATGCGTCCAACCGTTCATTCCAAAAACAAGAAGAAGTACCAAACCTTTGGAGTGGTAGCGGTGAACGCTATCCGGTCGTTGTGTTCAATAGACTTGATTTTCTGGCAGGTAGTGCTCCTGTCTTTTTGGTTTCAATCGCCCCGGCAAGTTGACAGACGACTTGCTGGTGCGGTATGGCTGTAAGTAATATTATCAACCAGATCAAAGGTAACCTGATTTCGCAAAGTCGCGGGGTTAAGAATGTGAAAGAATTATAGGCGTTTAAAAAACGCCAGAAAACACTTAGGACGCATTTTCGACGAAACTCGTCAATCACGAAGTAGAAATCTAGAGAATCTAAACCTACTTGGAATATTATCTAATAGTCACAAATATACGAAACTGATTAATTTACAGGGAAAGGGCGTCTGTTTAAAACTGAATAAGAAAATAGCATACAAAGAGATGGCACTGTTAAAGAACAAGAAAGTATGTGGGATCACCGAAGAAGGCAGTTGAAAACAACGATGTTGTAAGGCTTTTTAGAGAATTTTACAAGTGGGCAAAAATATATCCACGAGGAGCAGGTCGAGGCAAGGGTGAGACAGAGCCAGCGAGTCATGGGTGGAGGCGTTCTCCGACCACGGATGACCCGCCCTCGACGTTTGGGGCCGCCTATGCCTTGGTTTGGATGTGATTCGCACATGGCAGAATTGATTGAGATCTCGAAGAGGTCGAGGTCGAGCGAGAATACACAGCCCGCTAGTCGAGCACAGAGCAAGTGCTGCTTATAATGCTGTCGGTACTCCCATCGTCATGAAGCGCTCTGTGCTTTGTCATAGTGTTGATAAGAACAAGAGATGGAGGCGCACTCCGACCATCTATTCTGCCCTTCCTTCCTCCTTGTGCACATTTAAATGACAACATCAGAATATGAGTTCAGTAGGCAAAATCGCTCGCATAGGTCGAATTTGGTTGTGTGAATACTCTATAACCCAAATTGTATTTGTTTACTACAAGCACAACAAAGGGATTAAGCGATGAACAATTGTGGTGTGAGTTGCAGGACAAAAGCAAAGAGGATAAATTTGAAAGGATACGACGTATGGGCACATAATATGCGTCAACTTAGGGACGAGTAGCAATGCAGATCAAAATAAAGGACCTTTTTTTTTTACAGAATCGTACCCTATGAAATTGGGTGTCTGCGACATTCTTATAACGAGTGACGCATAAACATGACCAATCCTCGGGTGCTAGGCACCTTGTGCTGAAGCCATTGAAAGCAGTCTTCAGAGCTGGGAGATGGAAGCTGTTTTCATACTGCTACGACGACTGCGATAGTGGATCACGCCCTGTGGGCGGATCTTCCGGATGTACGTCAAGAGATCACTGGTTTTTGGTCTTCCGGTCCTAAGCGTGTGGAATCGATGCGGCTGATGATAAGCGGTCTTTGTCCGCATTCTTCAGTCCAATTCAGTTCAAGAACCGAAATGAATAAGGCAGTTTAGTTGCGGGTAAACATGGTGCGTATGCAGTGTAAACCAAAGCTACCTTTGCGTTTCTGATCTTCGTAGCCACTATGCTCCCTTACATTCGTTTCAGTTGCCAATCAGGGTTTCGTAACATTGCTGAGATATCCCTGCTGTCTATTTTTAGGATTTCTGTCTTTCCTTCGTTACTCTTGAGCTGACACATTATTCCAGCCTTGCATTGTGTGATTCCTTGTTATTCTTTGTTGTGATCATTGTTCTAACTGTCAAGTTTAGTTGTTAATATGGCAATACGTTGTCTGATAAATGGACTTTGCGAGGAGAAAAATCAGAGACGTAGTCGTAGTTCGTTGAAGGCCTTATTCTTCATGGAAGGGAATGGTCGATGCTTAACAGTGAAATGCTGGATGAAGATGAATCGTATGACGATTTTTGAATCATTGTTGTTGTTCTGTTGAAAAATGCTGTAGAACGAATAGACCGTTGTGAAAGAAATGCAGTCGTCATCCAGGCACGTGTTGTCCACTGTAATTTTCACGCACAAACAACTAAACTAAACTGCGAACTCTCGGTTGACCCGGAAGACTGGCGTTTATCAGTGACATTTTTTTTAGTAGAATATCGATTTGCTACTTGTACAGAAGAAGTCGGATTAGTTCTTATCAGGTGACGGCGATTTGCCATATGTCAGCAAAGTGCTACGTGTTCTTGTGTAGGACAGTATTGTTGGAGAAGAATACAGGTGCGTAAATGCGTGGTTGGGTAATCCTGTCAGTTCACTGAGCGAAGAACGTGCAGCCAGAGACTGACACCTTCAATATATTAACAATAGGTTTTTTGCTTCGTTTCTCCTACGAAGCTTAGCGAACACTGTTTTCGTATTTATCTAAAATACGGTCATAATTTCTCCACTGCTCCGTTATTCTTAATGAAAAAGCAGTGATGGGCTAGGTGTTACTTTAAAATGTCGAGATACCATTTGGTGTTATCCTTTCGGACCTTTTTAATAATGTTACTCACTCAACGGCTTTAAGTGAAGCATCAAATACCACACGTTCGCATTCCACTGGTCCCATTTCTAGCGAGCAGGTGCTGGCTCACAAATCGTTAAGTGTGGCCCTGAATTTCCGTTATTGTTTACAGAATTAGAACAATACAGCCTGTTCAATACTTTAGGCTCAAAAACCTTCTTCAACTCGATGAAACGTGAACGTCTACATCTTCACAGATTTCTTGAATTAAGGTCTTCGCTCCCAAATCATAGAAAAACGCCAAAGATGTGCCTTTTGCTTCCATTTTCAGTAAGTAGTTCTTTTGGAATTTCTTATTCTATTTAGTGGATTTCGACCTGTAGAGATTCATTTCTGTTCCAAACAAATAGTTTCGTATCACTTTTAGATAATATTTTTGTGAAGAATTCCGATCGACTAGGGATTGGATCTACTTATCGGCGACCCAAGGTTTGGTGATGGTGAAGAGGTGTCAATGACAAACCTCTGCTTAGCCACTTACGGAAGCGATCTGAAGAGAAATCAGAACTAAAATTATGTCAGTTTGTTAGACGAAACGTTTACGGTGTGGAATAAGTGCTTTGACCTAGTATCCCTTATTGTCAAACCAATGCTTTCCCGTGTTCGATACCTCTTCTTGAGTGAGGAATGAATGACTGTAATTCAAATTTCAGTCAGTTTTGCATTCGCATTCTGTCGATAAAGTCAAAATAAATATAAATTTCCAGGGAGATTTATGGTATATTTCTCGCCAAAAACATCTTGTTTGTCTTGTTTTCTACGGGTAATAGATAAGATATGGAAGTGTTTTGAGATTCGTTTTCATGCAAATGCGAGTGTTTTGCTATGAGTTCCTTGTTTCACGCGACACTTCCTAAGCCGTTCGTAGTTTGAGTGAAGCAAGTTCCCTAGCAATGAAGAGTTTGAAGCCTTTTTTGAAGAATGAGAACGATTTCTAGTTTTATCGTCATTGTATGTTCTCAGGCGTTCGCCGTTCTCTGAGATGACCGTTATCTAGGCTGCTGTGAGCACGCGTAGGATTACTGCCATGGTCGAGAGAAGAGGTCAGCAGTGCCGTTTGACGGCCTTGTCTAACCTGACATTCTTCGAACCGATTGACCTGGCGTTCTGACCACTGTTTGACTGAAAGGAATCGAACACAACTCAACTTTGATCTTGACATTAGAATGTGGAATTGAACATACTTCTAAAAGAGTGTGGCCTGGCTCTAGAGGTTCTTTGTGGACGGGTTTTATGAGGACGTCCGAACTAATTCTGGCCACTTTCTCAGATAGTTGCCCAACGAAAGTATGCTGCGCTAAGTTTGTTAAAGGATATATTGTTGATTAAGCCAGCTGGGATTTCGTCGCTTGATGTAAGAAGCTGTAGTGAGCCTAGACCACGCCATTCCAGCCTTCTTAAAGTACCCTTGAGATCAATCGACACACATTAAATCAACGGATCGTTGATCAAAATATTGTAACAAAAGTACGTATTAATTTTTCCATATCGTCTTAAACGTGCAGTGTACTCCCGACATGACTTATTACCTTTTTGCTATCGATTTTCTTAGTAAGAGTGGAACTTTTCTCTGCCAGAAATTATTGACTCTTGTGAACCGGATTTTTGCCTCCTTGTGAATACTTTCCATTCTGGACGTCGACGATTCTTAACGTTAGCCTTTTAGCTTTGCCTTTGGACTGATATTTCGTGCTATTTTAGTTGAGAACCATGTCAGGGAGTTGAACACCTTTATTTGGATTTCAATCAGACACCTGGAAAACATTTTGGCTAATTGAGGCATCCTGTCTTTCATGAGGGCTTGAAGACTAAAAGAAGAATTCAACTTCCAAACCCAAATAAGCGAATTAACTAGATCGTAAGATGCATGCCGTTTAAAGCCACAAACTATACTTGATATAAAAATCATATTTTTGGAGAATATTCCCTACAAAGTAGTGAACATTTTCTATCTCGATCTCTATCTTATCATATGTCCTCTTATAATAACTGTGAGGTGCTGAGCAGGTCATGCTATAAAGCTGCCTAGAACACGCACTGTCCTGCCATTGCATCAACATTTGTACACTTTTAAAGCCATTGGCTAGGTAATAGTTTTACTTTTCATCTACCGCTTAATTTCCATATACTCCATTAATCTAACATGATGTATCTATATTCCTACTATATTCCTAAATCGTTGTTGATCTTGTCTTCATACATCTTGTCTGTATAACCACTGTATATTTTTTTTATTCTCGTTGTATTGTTATTGGGCTATTAGTTGCTCATATTAGGGTTTTGTTG